GAGGGAATACCGATGGAGAGAGAGAGAGATGGAGAGAGAGAGAGAGAGGGAGAGAGAGAGAGGGAGAGAGAGAGAGAGAGAGAGAGAGAGGGAGAGAGAGAGAGGGAGAGAGAGAGATGGAGAGAGAGAGATGGAGAGAGAGAGATGGAGAGAGAGAGATGGAGAGAGAGAGATGGAGAGAGAGTAGAGAGATGCAGAGCGAGAGAGAGAGATATGGAGAGGGAGAGATGGAGAGAGAGTAGAGAGATGCAGAGAGAGAGAGAGAGATAGGGAGAGATGGAGAGAGATAGGGAGAGATGGAGAGAGAGAGAGAGATATGGAGAGAGAGATATGGAGAGAGAGAGATATGGAGGGAGAGAGAGAGAGATGGAGGGAGAGAGACCGGGGGGGGGGGGCTACAAAATGTATTATTATTTTTTAATCCCGTGGATGTGCATCAAACTTCCCCCCGTGAACAAAAAAAGTGAACCGTGAAATCACAGCACACAAAAACGTGCACAAGGGTGCTTGGTCCTTCAAAAGAAGCAAGCTACTTTCCCGACCCCCTGTGGCGCAAAGGGGGGGGGGAAATCTTCTCAGACGTCCTCTTCCTCCTTAAAGTCCATGAGGTGATAGTCTCTGAGCAGGGAGTAGAGGGGCAGCAGGTGATTGGTATTCCTATCTCTTGCTGCCTGGGACGTGTAGTTCCGGGCGCGGGGCAGGTAGTGCAATGCGTGCAATCAGTCTGCGGCAGTCCTCAGTGGACATCCTCTCCTCCGGAGGGTGAGGCGCTTCCTTGATAAGAACAGATTTTTTTTTTATCGAAGCCCGTGGACGTGCATCAAAACTTCCCCCTGTGATCAGAAAAAGTGAACCGTGAAATCACAGCACACAAAAACGTGCACAAGGGTGCAAGGTCCTTCGAAAGAAGGGACCTACTTTGATCGAAAACTCCGGGGCCTGGAACCTCATCCGGCTCCCTACCAATTACGCCAGGAACCTACCGGTCCGTCCATCCACCCCTCATAGGCGACAGCGGACTTTCAGTTCCCGACAACGGATAAGAACAGATACTACACTTGATCTTAGCCACAAAATATCTTAAATGATACTAATCTCATGTATTATGGTCTGTGATGTAACACAAATGTATACCTTCCTGGTAGTAATGGGAAAGGATAACTATACAGGTTATGGTGGAAAGGGGAAACACTGAGTCTCTCTCTCTCTCTCTCTCTCTCCATATCTCTCTCTCTCTCTCTCTCTCCATATCTCTCTCTCTCTCTCTCTTCATGTAAGTCAGGGGAAGCCAAACTTCAGCCCTCTAGCTGTGGCAAATGACAAATCCCATCATGCCTCTGGAAGTAATGCCTGTGGCTGAGTCTTGCAATGCCTCATGGGACGTGTAGTTTAATGCTGAGCAGTGCTTCCTTCCGGTCTGCCGGGCTACAACAAAATGGCCGAGAAGAACCAATCCTCGAAGGGCCTGCCTCTTACCCATGATGCTAAACATTGGGGGGGGATGGGCACTATTGTTGCAGGAAGTGAATGGAGCCGAGTGCGAGCTATGGAGCCGAACTGCAACAATATGCCGGAGAGGATATTACGGCTCACCCTGGAGATCATCTACCTGCTGACCGGCGAGGTGAGGAGGATTCTGCGCGACCGACATGCACCTCATTTTCTTTTTTTTTATCGATACCTGAGAAAGAAAATTCAACAGAATTTTGGGTATCAAAAAAACAGAAAATACTTTTCTAAATGAGAGTGGGAACATTCCCTACGAGCGTTACCATTATGAGGGGTTGCATAAAAATCATTTGCCTGTGATGTGCTTTTAACCAGAAAAAAATAATGGATTATATTTTGGGGCAATGAACAAATGACAGAAGGCTGCCGTGGTAAAAAAAACTACAGGGAAATGCCACGATGTATTTTTGCATGCGGCGCGATTGCCGATTTGATACCAAATTAATTGTTTTTTTATGGAAACAATTTAAAAAAACAATATATTTTATTGACAAAATTATTAAAATATGCAAAAAAACTAATGTATACAAAACCTAACTTAAAAAAAAAATATATATATTATATTTTAAATGTATAATATTTATAATATA